ATGGTAGGCATGCATAACGCCTCTGCGAATTTGAACCAACGTCGAATGCGTGGCGTGCACCCAACTCGCACACGGGACCTCAACCTTTATTAAGGGTACACGATGATCATGGGCTAGCATAAATTTGGCAGGATGGCTGCTGGCGTGCCCATGCCTCACTAAAGCACTTCACCGAATACACACAGTGAATAACTCACTTGGTCTCCGGGTGCTCTCTCGAGGAGGTGGCCGATTTAGACTAGACGCTGCCGTGCTTGTTGATCTGTCGGGTTCACGTGAGGTTTTCGACCTCAAGCACGCGTATCTATTTAAACCGACTCTGAACAACTCTGAACACACATTAGCGCTGATTCCATGGCGAAAAACGCCGGTTTTTGAGTTCAGTGACCGTTTTTCAATCGTAATGCTTGTATTTTTGTATTATTTTAATATGAGTAATAAAAGTTCGTCATCTTATGTTACTATTATACGCGACGTTGCGGTTCCCCTTCATTTGTAAAACGAAATAACCCAACCCCTCCAGAGTGCGCCATGCATCCGACTTTACCCATGAGGCAGAGTTTCCACCACTAACACCCATACAATGTTCAATCCGCTGCCGTCACTCACACAAGAAATCTTCCACATTGCATGCCTTGCTCTGCTTTAGCAAACTTCCACGACTAAACATCAAAACATTTCACTTATGATTTTGGTTCTATTATGACTAGGGATCAGGGCCGTATGCAAGGCAGCTTTTTTTCTTTGGATCTTCTGGTCAAGCGTGGGGTCTCCTTTGCAACACCTTAACGACCGTCTCTGCTATACAAATGACCTGGACTGCAGGCAGTACCATCAGCAAGGGAATTTCCCTCCGTCCCTCTTGTTTACGACCCGTTCCCTTTATACACCTTCCAGCGATGGACAACCGCATGAAATCATCCTTACCAATCTCGATAGTGATAGCCCATTGCCTAATTCTGCCTTCATCAAGGATAGGGACCTCATGCTACGATTTTTGCCGTTTTCTTCTTCTGTACGAACTCACTCTATGTCATATGCTCCAAATATTCCCACAGAATCTGAGCTCATTAATCAAAGTAGCAGTCTCGCGTCCCAACTCAGGGCCAGGTCAGAAGTAGCGTACTATAAACTCTTCCAACAACTTTCAGAATGTTGATACTCATATTCACATCAATCTTTGTCATTACCGCTGCGGCAGAGTCATCCGTGAATAAACTCCAGACTCGGCATCGTCGGCAGAGAAAATGATTTTCAGCGTGTACTCAGTGGGGCAAAATTGTGGACCACCGTCATGTTCACGAAAATGCAGAAATACTATGGCATGCCAGACAATCGACATCAATCTTGCCTGCGTAAACGGATGTTGCACAAGGGTAGGTAGATTCGTATCGAGACCTTATCCAAGTAAAGAAGTATCAGAGTTGCTGAGGCGTCTATTTCAGTTGAGGGAGGGGGAGTGCAGCGCGTCTAGGAGGTGGGAGGGGCGGGGGAGTAAGAGGTCACTTGAAATCGTGAAAAAGCTTGAAAATGTTCGAGTTCAACACTAAAGTTCGCCGTAGAAACTGCATTAATGATGGTCCCCCGTAACTGATAAACGCCCGGTTTGCTGTACCGGAATAAGATTCTTCCAATCTTGTCATGATATACGTTTCCTAACATGCAAGAAACCCTTTCTGTTCTATCCGTGGACCGTAGAAACTATCGGCCTCATCGACGCCCGTTCTGGAGAATTGGTTGTGCGGCTCAAGATTTACTACTGGCACCTGTTGACAGCTTCCCAACCGCACTCAATACATCACTCGCAGGGCCGCGCCGGCGCCGGGGCGCCGCGACCCCCGGCGCACGCCGGCCGGGGCCGCGCGCGTCGGGCCGGCCGGCCCCGGCGCGCAACGCGTCTACCGAGAAAAATAGTACAGAATGGATTTGTTCTGGCGTGGAATGTAACGCGATCGCGAAGGGAATGCAGGCTGTGTGAGCTCCAGGGGGGGGTTGATTCGCAACTATAAGGCTGCTTTCATAGTTCGCATCGGTGCGGTCGGTGCCGACGGGCGCCGACGGCGCCGACCGGCGCCGACCGCACCGACAGTGTGAAGAGCGTCAATACGCGCTCTGGCGCATGACGCGTACGTTGGGCGCAGATGGCGCGCTCCGATCGATAATCTTGGTTTTGGTGTATTTCTTGTCTTTTTCGATGTTTTTTTTTGCGCCGTTGCTTGCTTTTATTCGTGTGTTTTCTGTTCATACTTATATTTTATGTCTTGATTCATACAGTTGTTCCGCGGACGAGCGACTTCGTAGAACCCCGTCGTACAACCCCAGGTGAACGTGGCTATACCGGGTGAGTTCATCATAAGCAATTTTGTTTATTCGAGTGAAATCTATGTCATTAGAAGTTGCTTTTTCTTCGGTACGATTTCCTGCTGGTGTGCGAAAGGCCGCCGGATCTTGGTAACTTAATTATTCGCACACCAGCAGGAATCACCGTCGTATGGAAGAAAAAGCGAGCTACTGAAAACATACAGTTCACTCGAATAAACAAAATTGTACATGCATGATGAGACTGAGCCGGGTCTTGAGCCACGTTCACACGGGGTTGTACGACGTCGCTCGTCCGCGGAACAACTGAAAAGTATTAATCAAGACAAAAGAATAAGTATGAGCAGAAAACACACGAATAAAAGGAAGACTGCGCAAAAAAACACCGAAAAAGACAAGAAATACACCAAAACCAAGATTATCGATCGGAGCGCGCCATCTGCGCCCAACGTACGCGTCATGCGCCAGAGCGCGTATTGACGCTCTTCACACTGTCGGTGCGGTCGCCGGACGGCGCCGTGGTCGCACCGACCCACCGATGCCGAACTAATGAAAGCAGCCATGACCCCAGCATCGCGAGCAGGGAAAGGAGCGCCAATCTTCAGCACACCAACTCCGCAATCGTTTTATCAAGGAGCAAGCTTGATATTTTTGTCATGAAGAAGAAACTCACTATTTCAGAGAAACAACTACCCGCCAGTGACAACCACCACGACTAGGACTCCACGTGAGTTCTTTGAGTTCTTGTAAGTATCTCGGTAAGTGTCAGTGCATTGAGAGGCAGCGATCACGATGGCTTGGGTGGTGCGATTTGGTGACGCTATTGGACGCCATTGGCAGAAGGAAGCCAGAAGGCTCCCAACCACGCCTCCCACCACGACGAGGGGCCTGGTCCACCAAACGTGCAATGACGTCATCGACGACAACGTGACGTCCAGTGGTTCTCACCAACTCTCCGAACGGCATCGTGAATCATTGGCCTTCAAAAGGATGGATGAGGAATGTGCACCCGACTTCAGAACTGCTCTGAAAATTAGTTATTATGGGTATAGGTTTGAACCAACACTTGATTTGTGGCATCACTCTTCACAAAAACACTTTTGGCTTAAGAACTGTCGTACCGACCTACTATCCAGAAACACAACAAAACACAAGTTCAGATGCTTCTCTAGGGAGTCGATCCAATGGAAGTGCAGGGGTTAGGTGACGCCTCTAATGCCAGGACTCTTCCCTTCAGAGAACTATCCAAGTGTTAATTTTATGAAATTGTACAAAAATACCAAACCGCATCTGCAGCTTATTAGGAAAGGCATTCAACTTCTCCATGGAACTTTGAATTGAGACCCAGATATATCGATAGAGCTTCAAACGCTGATTACAAATATGGAAACTAAAACTGCAAAATGAACCTGCCAAGGAAGTTGTGAGCAGTCAAAGTTGGCTAAAGTATGAACATGATAAGCCTGGGCTTTCAAAGTCGCCATGGAGTAGTGGTAGTGCTCTCGAAATTGCACTCCACGGGAGTGAACTTATGACCTCCCGGGTGGAGAGCGAGAGCACTACCACTACTCCACGGCGACTCTGAAAGCCCAAGGCTAGTGTGGTGCATTTACTTCCAGCCAACTTTGACTGCTCACAACTTCCTTGGCAGGTTTTTTGCAGTTTTAGTTTCCATATTTGTCAGCGTTTGAAGCTCTATCGATATATCTGGGTCTCAATTCAAAGTTCCATGGGAAGTTGAATGCCTTCCCTGGTTAGTATTTGGTACACTGTTCGTCTCGGAGTCTCGCGCGTTCGTCCACCGCTCGAAAACGAGGCTTCTACTTTAGGAGTTTTGGTCTCTTTTTTCTTTTTCTTCACTGATAGATCAACCCATAACTCTACTCTGATTCTGCAGCGTAACAACTGCACCGATAGATCACAATATGCTTTTAAACCGTTGTAGGTCAATCATCAAGTTTGTGTAATAATTCCGAAATCCTCACCTTGTTCAGAACCGAATCCACTGTGTGATGGGCGTGAAGCATCAGCTGGCTATTGCCGAGCTGGTGGAGTTTGTGCGTCTGGCTTCACATGTACAGGAAACAATGTGTGTTGCCGATGTGCCTATGGAACCAGCATCGGTTTGTGATAGTTGCATTTCGAAATAATTCGACCAACTGAAAAAATGCTGGATTTTTAGGGCCTTGCGTGAACCAACAGTGTCCAGACAACTTCCAGTGCAACATCAACAACGAGTGCTGTCCTTATCAAATGGGAAAATAGCGGATAGCCATCCCACATTT